GTCAGCAGGGAATGCAACTGGGAGAAAGGAGGAAGCAGCAGATAACACTCAGTTTAGAACACACAACCAGGGCAAAAATATTAGTGAATATTTTAACAATTAATAAGGAAAGGACGCCGATTGTTATTACATCTGCTGTGACAGAAATAGCAAATCAGTTGGGCTGGAAAGCCTAGAAAAAGGCACGTGCTTCTTTCCATGGAGCATCCATCCAGCAGCCTGTCTCCTCCATCATCTGTACATACAAAAAAAGGAATGGTCCAAGAAGGAATGATGCCTCCTGTGCAACAAGTTAGCTGATTGTAGATCAGAATCTTGTGAACTACATGCGGTTGGCTGGAATAGGGCAGTATATAAATGTTATAATACAGTACATGTAACATCCCTAGTGCTTCCAGCTCATGTAAATTTGTATGCTTCTTCATCCAGGAATGCTTTGCTTTCAACAACTTTGCTTTCAGCCCTTGAAACCCCAAGATAAATGGAAATACTTCACAGAAGCCTATATTCTTGCCATACACTTTGACTTTGTTCCCCCAACACTCTTAATCCAGTCAACATATCTAGTCAAATCTCCTTGACTCTTGCAATACCAAATAATATGAATTGAGTTTTGGAAATGTAGAGGTCCCACCCACTGTCCCAGAAATCAGCTAGTATCTCATTGGCTTTTCCACCAGGAAATAATTATTGGCAAACTTCATGACTTCATTAGCCCCTTCCCTTCAATTAATTTATCATAGACCAAAACAAGAACAAAAATGTACAAAGTCAAAGAAAATGAAAATATAATAATAATGTCATGAGATAGTCCATAAGTGCTTGACAAGTTCTCTTTTACTCCCTCTGATTTTTCATTTTATTTCTTTCCCTCTTATTTCTATTTTCATCTTTTTTTTTTCAATGTATGTAAGTTCTGGTCTATGGCCATAAATTTAAATAGATAAATAAATGCCCCTCCCCTACTAGCTATTCAGAATCAATAGACTTGGTCATTGCAGCCAGTCAGTGTTCGGGAGGGATGTTCTGTCATTCCAAGTTTTTGGAGTAAGTTCTATAATGGAGACATTTGCTTCTTTCAGTCTTTCTCTCGCTCTAGCACATTTATTGGCTGACTAGATATGCAAAAAGGGTAAGTTCAAAGGGTTTAGGTGTTCCCACAACACAGTTCACTTTCGTTGAAGCTGATGCATTGCTGGATTTGTTAAGGATTATATCTAGCCACTTGGCTTAACAGGCTTGGTTAAATGACCCATTCTTGATGTCCATACAAGACATTAACTCTTTCATCAAATAGTTAAATGTGTGGTGGAAATAGGTCCATAGACTTGGATAGGGATGAACTGAGAACAGGTTAATCATACTACCATCCTACTGAAATCAATGGGACATAAATTAGTCATGACTAACCTTCAATCTTTTTTCAGTGGTAACTACTGCAACTAACTGGCAATGTATTAAACATGTGAAGAGTGCTCCATACAATAATCTGAGAGCAAGACCAAACTGCTGCTTTGTTCACTGGATATCTACACATATCAGGAAGCTTGCCCTGCATAGACGTCATAAGAATGTAAGAAGAATTGTTGTAGATTAGCCCAAAAGACCAGCATTCTTCAAACATTCAGGTTAATGTATGAAAACTGACACTGACCAAAGGCAGTAGTTAGACATGTATTCCTGCTTCTGCTCTCCCGATTGCCATCCATTTTGCTGGCAGGTCTGGAAGGGAATTTTAGCATTTGCTTCATTTGATTGCACTTCTCCACACAGGGTCCATGTTAATGTGACTAGTTGTATTCACACTCATGGCAACATACAACCTTCCTTCCAATCTGCTAGCTGAACACGTAGAAGCAGGAAGGAGTAAGTTGGCAGAGTTACGTATACAACCCCGTATTTTTCCAGGATGAATCCTCCTGAAGATGACTTCCAACTAGTTCTGCTTTCATCTTTCATCTTAGTCAAAGAAATATCCTTGAGAACTACACATGAAGGTGCCCCTTAGCAACCTATCGTTCTTGTATTTCAGCAATTAGCACTGAGAGCTATGCTGCCTCCAATATTACAATAAAGGCATAGTAACATACATAGTTATGAGTTGATAACCTTATCATCTAATATGATTACTACTACTTGTGGTAGTGAATTCTATAGTTTAAGTACATATGGGATAAAAAATATATTATCTGTTCTGAATCTCCCAGTATATAGTTTCATGGGCCCACTCTTACTCCTGAGAGAGAAAATACATCTTTCAAGCAACTTCACTATCCCATACATCATTTTATACATTTTTATGGACATTATTGCTTGGATTCTTAAACTAAAAAATCCCAGATGTTATTGCTTTGGGTGGTTAATAATTTTAATTGACTTTTCTTGCATTTTTCCAACTCTACAATGCGATCTGTACTCATGATTCCAAGTGTGGTTGCACCAACTGTTGAAAAGAATACTATCAAAAGCATTATTTTTTATTCCTTTCTTAATGGCTTCCAGCATAAGAATTTTTTCATAGCTCTTACTTTCTGTCAGCAGGCATCTGCCCATGAGCAGAACTGGTGATATTCTTGATCCTGGGGACAAAGCCCTACTCCCTGGTTATCATGTAAAACTACCTTCTTGCTCATAACATAAGAAGATATGTCTGCATCCATTCTGTATTATTGTCAAACATGCCCCTTGTCTTTAAGTCACTTATCTGGAATAACTCTTACATGCAATTTTCAGAAAAGACCAAGATGGAAAAGACACTAGGATAGGTTTTGAAATTGCTCTGGCTTTCAGCACATAAATAGGAAGATGTTGTCAAAACTATGCTGTCAAAATAAGAAAGCATGTATATGGTAAAGATCAGAAACGTGAAGATTGTCGACATCTTTTTAGAGGCCTAGATGAAAAGATGACCCATGAGCCTCATTTTCAATGTTATATCTACATTATTATGCAATTTTGAATGGTGACTGAAAGGAAGACATTTGCTCTCATTGGAAGTTCTTCTTAAAGCAAGTAGCATCAGCTTAATACAACTAGATGAGGCTTTGCACATTTGCCCCTTATTTCATGGCCTGCCTGCATCTTCTTTTGCTCTCCCAAATCTTCCCAATTTGGATGCAGGAGTGCAGCTCTCTGAATAATCTGAGCTCATATTTTACCAGAGTCCCAGTCTATGTGGAGAATTCTACTTGCATTCAAGCAAATGAAAGTACAACTTCCCTTCCAAACTACCAGGCAGGAGGTCAGAGAGATGAGCTAGGTAAGCAGAATGGGAAGGCTGAGGAAATGGAAGCCTTTGTGCTTCCATTGGGTGCTTAATCCAATTATTAACCACCCAAAGCATCTGAAGAGAGCTACAAAATCAACTTTGCAATTTTCTTTTCTAAAAATTTATTCAAACTTTGTGTTTTCCCTTCCTTCAGTGTTAATCAACTTTGTTAAAATGGCTGCATGTTGAATACCAACACGGAAAATGTTAATGGTCATTCCCCCTCCTCTGCCTTTAACAGTACTCTGACATACAAAATACAGGCTGGGAAACTTTTCCCATCATTCATATTTCCATACCAAAAAAATGTTTATAATAAAGTTTCAGGAATCAGTTTTCTGTTACTTAGGCAAAAGAACAGACCAAGTCAAGGGCTAACTATCTTAATAATTGTGATGGAGACATATGAGGTGCAACAGAGGTTCTGAAACTGTGATCCAATCTGTAGGCTCAAATTTGGAGGTCCACACAGTGGAAAGACGGCAAAACAATTGAAAAAGTCTGTACTATATCTTGCACTGTACTGATGCAATGGAAATTAAGACCCTCTTGATCTGTGGAAGATGATCTCAAAAGCTACAGCACTTATGATTTTCATAATATGGCATTCATCTAGACTGTAATTTTGCTCCCTAAAAATTACCAATGAAAAGGATCCTTCTCAGCAGTGTAGCAAGTAGGGAAAAGCTTGAGACTGTAAGACCAGTCTTACATTATTTATTTACTTAATTTTGAGCACACAAAATCGTGCTCAAATTGTGCTGAAATGTTATGTTGAGCTCCTCTCAATGGTGGTAGGAGATTTTTAGATCAACCTGTTTTTCATATTACTGTACTGTACAGTATAGTATTAATTATTTTTACATGTAACTTAGTAGATCTGGCCTGCAATCACCACATGACCACTAGATGGCAGGAAAAAGCTTTTTGTAATAGTTTTCATTGTTCAATGAACAGAAATCAATCTTCAGGAGAGGAGAAATATTACCACCTGTTATGGGAAAACAATTCTTAAAAAGGTAGGCAGAAATAGAAATCTAGTTAGTATACAAAATAACTTTATTGAAATAAAAGAATCAAATTTTGCTCTGGGCATGATGATTATTTAATATTCATGAAGTGAGGAACTGAAAAAAATGTATCTCATCAGGCATAAAATGTTTATCAGTTGTGAAAAGAAAAACAGCTGCTTATTAGCAAGAGGGGGAAAAAATCCGAAGTCCATAGTAGAGCTATTTTTTTAACTTAATATTTACGAAATATGAGTCAATTTTCATATTTTTAAATTTCATATTTTAAGTAGCATGAAATTGCTTTATTTTATTTTAATGAAAGTAGCAAGGTATCATTTATTGTTATATCCTATTAAACATATTTTAAAAAGCCTTTTTAAAATTTGTGCAAAAACCTATAATGCTAATTTTAATTATAATTCAAAACAAAACTGCTTTGATTACCACCAAAACCCGCTTTGCTATAATGGCTGTAACCAGAATGGGGACATTTCTTCATAATTACACAGAGAATATTATAATATTATGGGATATAGAATTATAGTGTGAAATCTGTATTCATGTGTTGAATGCCCATTACCGGTAGCCTATCAATCATGTCATTAGCACTGTCAATGCATCTAAACTATATTGATCTGCACAATATTTCAAAAAGGCAATGAACACGAATATATATTTTAACATATTTATTATAACAAAAATAAGTCTCTTTCTTTCACATTAAACTACTATTTTACACAAATAATAACAGGCTTCAAAATTTGCCGTCAGATATAAAAACAAAGTTGAAAAGCTATTTAACAGCATAAATGTTACTCCCAACACATTTTCAGAACGTAGAAAATAGAAACTGTTAAGAAAGTTAAGAAGGCTTTGGGGAATATAAACACAAAATATTTAATGCAACAGAAATGTAATAACTATACTACTTTTTATCTCCAAACTAGAACATCACATTTCAGAGGATAATCAAAATTCAATGTTAGTAAAAAAGAAGACTTAGGCTAGTGAAGAGTTCAACTGTATAAATCTGTACAATTTTTTCCAGTCTCATATATATTCTACTAAATTATCAAATAAATTAAGAAAATGTGAAGCTATTTTCAAAAAGAGTGCAGCTGAACCTATATCCTTAATCCAGTTTTGAATGGGCAAAGTCAGAAGACTTTAATCTGAAAATATCTAGATTATAACAAAAATTGACCTTTCATGTAGTGCTGCGAGATGATATACAAGGTTATAATCACCTAACATATAAATTATGAAATGTAGCTGAATCCAAGTGGCACTAGGAAAGAAAGAAGGACTGTCTCATGCCTATTATCTGAATGTGGGCAGAATTAATTCTTTCACTGTTAAGCAGTGTGTAGAAGTGGGAAATGCAGCAAGTCCTGTTTGTGGTGCATAATACACCAGCTGTAATTTCCTTTTCTTAACATTTAGTCTTATTTTCCATCAGTCTTGAGACTGAAGTGCTCAACGTGTGGAATTTACATGGCAGAATGAAAATACAAACAGGCTTCAGGAAAGCAGGCCAGGTGCAAAAGAAACTGAGCAGCGCTCTTCTTGAAAGATAAACCCAATAAGCTGCTCTAATCACAGCAACCTTTCATTATACACACGTAGATTTGACAAAGTACAGCATTAATTTAGAAATCTGCAAAATACCCCTATATCAGGAACAATCATTTATTGTTTATAACACACATTTCCATAGGTGGTAATGGCTATGCCAGCTACAAGTCAGTGTAGGATAAAGATACACCTGGAGTAAGTTTCCATGCATTTCTTTACTTAATACTGTATACAGAACCTATTTTGGCCTTAGCTTATCCTGGACAAACATGTTGGAAATCTTATCCATCAATAGGCCATCAAGGTAAAATCCCAATGTGAATATGCAGCCTCCATTATTTTTCCCCCTCCACACACACTTTAACACACCTCATTTACTCATGGCAGAGATGCCTCAAAAAAGCCTCCATTGCTATCAATATTTCAAAGTAGGCTAATTATTGATTTTCTAAAAGGGATTGGAACACCTCCTCAATAGCAACTCTATCTCAAAAATATTGCCCAGGCCCCACATAGCAAGGAACCTATAAAACAGACCACAAAGGAGATACTTGAAAGGAAGAGAACAGTTATTATCTCCAATCTGGAGCTGCTTAAAAATAATTTTTTTCCTTTTGACTGGGCCAATGGGTAGGGAAATAGTTGGAGAGGATCAAGGTCTTTGGAGAGGAGGTTAGGCCTTCTAACATTGGCTTGAGATTCCCTGTGTCTATACTACAGGACCAAAGATATTCAAATCATTTAATGATAAATTATTTATTTTTAACAGAAAAAAGGAATCAACCATGTAAAACATATGGTTGCGTGCTGTCAACTAAATGGCTTTCCAATATTTAGGGCTATAATGTCTGGAATCCCTGAGTCTGGTCCATGCTGATTGGTGTTTATGGGAATTGTAGCTCAACACACTGGGAACACATCCCATTCTCTACCTCAATATCCCCAGAAGTTTCAAAGAGGCAAGTCATCTGTAGTATCATACTGAGCAAAATTAACAAGTAAAGAAACTAAATGCTTTCTAAAGAAATGAATATTTAATTAGAGGAGTGAGGGTAAAACTAAAGCCAAATAAATTCAACAATTTAGGAAGATTGTTCTACTAAGAAGAATCTACTGTCATCTTTGACATAAAAGATTTTGGACCATTTGAATTTGTAAACCAAAGGATGTCAAACACTTTTGATGGAAATATTATAGAAACATAACATTTGTCACTTAAAGGTGAGAAAGTGAGATAGGAATTTGTTACCCCCTTAGCTTAGCTTTTCCCTTAAATACTGATTGTTTTTGAAAAATGAAGATGTCTGGTCCACTCTAGAGATTCCACTTTTACTAGCTCTCTGTTGTGTGTTTGACAATAGTCCGACAGTGATCTTAAGGTTATAGGTTAAAATTGAGAGAGCAGAAAATACAATAAAAAGCAAAAAAGGACTGAAACATTTGGAATAAAGAGTTTTGAAAGCATTCTAAACAAGATCCAAGGGTGACCTTCTACAGTAAGTTGTATTTTAAGCAGGGGTGTCCTCTGGGAAAGGGTGGGAGGAGGGATACAACACAGTTTGCATTCATGTAATTGCACTGCGTATTAAAAAAAAGGCTGGGAGAACTTTGATCATATAATCATGGCCACCATCGTGACTTTTTTTATCCTCCCTGTGGATGCCTCTGATTTAAGCATCTATTGCAACATCTTGAATACATATGAATTAATTCAAGAGACTTTTATATTTGCAAGATGCAGGAAATTCAGAGCAGAGTAACTGCTTTAGTTTTGTTTTACTGTTCCATTATTTAAAACGAAAATAGCATTACTCATGACCCATTTTTTACATTATATTTATCACTGTTCTGTACTTATCACTGTGTCCCTTTAATCCATCCACACATTGCCTTACTGAAAAAGTCATTGTTTGCAGTCTCATTTTAAACAAGATTTAAAAAATAACTAAATGCATTTCGAGCACTCTATCATGGAACCCAGGTATATTAATATTTTTTAGCACTTCATTTTTTTCACCCATGATTGAAACTGGATAGGACATTCTATATAGTTGTATTAATAACATTTTATCCTGACCTCTAACATATCTGCACTGCAAGATGTAGGTGAGATGTGCCACCATGTGGGAAATGGTAAACAGAAAACTAAAAGGAAATAGTAGTTTCTTGTTAAATGAACACTTAGCCAACATTTTTCCATTATTAAGTTAACATGCATGTGTAAATTGACTGTGAGAGTTGCTTCCTGGCGAAACACTTAAGGCAGAGACATTCTTAGAAGGCATGTGGGATATGGCTTTTTAAAAATATTTTGGCAAATTACTATAAATACTTCAAATATTAAAAAAAATAGTTCAGATAAAAATTTCCCCCCTTCAGTCTTACAAAAAATAGTGATTGTTCTTTAATTTTGTTCTTCTGGGAGACTGATCACAATTTGGTGATCTATAAGTTCCTTCAATAGTCTTTGCTCTGCAACAATATCATGGTATTCATTCTGGAAAGAACAATAAAGGAAACATATAAAACTCTAAAGGCACAAAAACATATAAATTAAACCCTAAACTCCATGATTTTTTTACTGGCCTTTGATGCCATTGCTCCCACCTTTTAATAAAATGCTTCTGGGTGTTTTTTATAACATGCTGTTAGTTTTTGTTTTAGTCTGATTAGGTGAATGGGGTTGATTAAGCCATGGTTTGTTTCAGGTCCCAAACTACAGTTTGAAACCATTTTTTTAAACTGGTTTACTGGCTGCAACTGTGCTTTAGTGCAGTACATGAACAGGGATGCAAACAGTTCAGATCTCTGATTTATTCCTAGTTGGTTTTGGTGCCCGCCCCCGGCTGTAAATAATCGACATAACTGCAAGACAAAAAGCGTTAAGAGCCACAATTACCTTGCCTCTCTATGTAACTGAAACCAGCTTGTCTCACATAAATTAAACCATGGCTTAGCATGTGTGAACGCAATGGCTAGATTCAGCACCTTAATTTGTACTATCACTAGGAAATAATTTGCTCCATGGTTTATTTATATTTATTAGATTTACATCCTGCCTTTTATGCAGGAGCTCAATAATGCTCCCTTTTCCTATTTTTCTCCACAACAATGGCTGGCCCAGTGTCACCTAGCGCGCTTCTGTAGCTGAGAATAGACTACAATCTGGATGTCCCCCTCCTACTCCAATCCCTCAACACTACACTACCCTGGCTCTCACACTGGTGCCTATCTGCTTGCTTCCTATTTCTTCACACCTAGTTTCCTAACTTCACCCTTGGCTCTACAGTGTAGTATCCCACAAAGCAGGACAATGTCTAAATTTTGTTGCCAATGGTGAGAAAATTCACATGTGAACAAATCCCATTATGAAATGTAGTTTAGTATCATGTTTTCAGATCTTGATTTGTTGGCTCCAAATAAACCAGCTAATTGACATGCTAATAATGACGTAACAATAATCACCACAATGGTAGCTCAAAGACGGTTCTGTCTCCTAAGCCTCCTTCCAGTACCACAAGCTTCGCCCAAAGCTGATCTGGGATACGAGATGCAGTCTTGAGGATTGTATCAAGGAAGGGGTGGATATCTAATATCAGATCCCCTGCCTTACAAAAATGCTTTCTGCTACTACCAGTTGCCATTTGATACAACCCGTTGAAAAGGAAATATACTATTTTCTTTGTCAGCTTTTATATTTTATATTACCTTAATCATCAAAGACATGGTGTCATTACCATAATAGTGCAAAGAACTCCCTTGATCCTGCAGGTCATACTTGAAGCCTGTCACGTGAACTTCAGAACATATATCAAAGGCAAACGCAATGGCAATTAGCCCTGTTGTGGGATGTTTCGGTTTCTAAAAAACAAAACAAAAACAAATTATAGATATATTCAGTTTGCAAACAGGTTCACATATGCCAAAACCATGCTTGTACTTGGAAGAAGTGTGGCAAACTCTATACTAATGTCTGTCTGTCTATCTGGTGTTGGTTACAGTACCCCAGGGACTGGCAATCCTTTAATGGATTGATACCGAATTTCTTGAATTTTGGAGGCTGAGGCCAAAATAGGGAAGGCAACAATACTAAAGAGATGGGGGCACATTATGCAGTGGATTGACCAATTGCCTGTTTGGGGAAGAGGGGGAGGGAATTAGGTCTTTGCTTTTAATATACTTTAGCTAAGTATACATTAATAAATTTTATTCCATTTAATGCATTTCAGAAAATGTCTTTGTCAAGAATACTATGAATAACTTTTATGTTTTTATGTAGGAGGGAAAAATGCATGTTTACTTCTCAGATATAACACATAATTTGACAACATATACTTTAACTATAGCAACACGTTTCATTTTAAACAACAGGGAAAGCAAGTGATTGCTTCATTGTGACACTTTTCTTTAAATCAGGCTTTTTCAAACTGGGTTCCGTAGAACCTAGGCTTCCAGGAGAATTTGGTGGGATTCTGTGGGAGACTATTCATTCAGACACAGCCAGTTTTCTATCACTAGAGCTTTTCAGGGATTCCTGCATTTTTTTTAAACTAACAGGTTCTGCAGCCTGGAAATGTTTAAAGCCCCTCTGCTTTAAATAATAATTAAAAGCTGTGAGTAACTCATTGAGGTGTGGGAGTATGAGCATCAACAAGGGGTCCCAGGTTAAAATATCTTGAGTCAATAACCCACACTTTCCTTCAGCCTACCCAATTTCTCGATGGGGAAAACAGGACAATGTCCACTATTCTGAACTGCTGGGAGGAAAAAGCAATATAGAAATATAGTAACTAATGTGACAACTTTGTTGTAATAGGTAATCTACAAGAAGCTTTGTAATTCAATATTTGTAATTCAATATTACAACCGCATGGCATCTCTGTAGCATACAAACCAACTAAAGCTCTCCAAAACATCTTAAGTAAACCAAAAGAACCAGTAGCCCAAGAAGAAAAAAATAGGAGTCATCTACAACATAGTGTAAGGACTGTAACAACCACAATGTAGGACAGACAGGCAGAAGGCTGGCAGAGCGCATCCATGAACACCAACTAGCAGTCAGAAAACATGAT